TCGCGGTAAGTTGTCTCAGTAAGCTTATTCCCCCCTGTCTTTTGCAAGGGGGTCTTAGCAGCATGCTGAATTCCCTCTCTCCTTTCTCGCACTTTACCTCCCTGTCACAGTGTTGCACGGTGTCTCTGTCCAGTTGAAAAGCATTGCTTGTTGTCTCAGTTGGTCACGGTATGTATCAGTAATTGTCTTGCCTCTTTGCTTCCTCTAACGTGCCGTCTACTGTTCTCTCTTCTTCTTCTTCTTCTTCTTCTTCTATGGGCTCTGCAAGACCCTAGGGCCTTGCTGGGGCGCACCCCTAGCCCGCTTTCGGTCCGTTATCCAGTCTTCCCAGGAGGCAGAGCCGAGACCGCCACTGTTCTCTCTCTCTCTCTCTCTCCGCACAGGGGGTTTGGGCTCTACCTTACGTGGATGCAAGTTTCATTGTTGGGATGGCATGATGGCATCTGTATGACAATCACATCTTGCATGATTGTCTTCTGCCTTCAGTGTGACATAAGATGAGAACTTGACCATTCCTTCCACAGCTGACATGCTCACAACAGTCCAAGAGCCTCCTCCTCTGGCGAGAGCTTATCCACTCCCTGCACATGCTGGTTCCAACCACTACCATCACAGGTAGGAGGCTCGCAGATGCCTGGTCCCCACTTGCTGGCCTTGGGCACATGGCAAAAGCAAATAGTCGTGTGTTGGCCCCCAAATGCTGTGCACAAATGCGAGCCACCTAGCTTTTCGGGCAGGGTAGCCAGGGTTCCTCGGTTTCTCCCCGTTTGCCAAAACGTTCCAAATCAAGTCCGTGTTCCATCAGTGCTCACCCTCCCTAATCGAACGCCCCCGCTGCCAGGCCCTCTTGCCATCGCAACATGGATGGCCCCACCGAAGTCATCACACTTGCTGCGCAGCTGTGTGTTTTCCGAATTAGCGCAGGGGTACCAAAAGCAGCTCAAACATACGCCCCCACAAATTGCTTGTCTTTTCAATCTTTAGTTTGAGAGTTTGCTGGAAGCCAGAAGCTTAAGGACTGTAGAACAGACAGCCGGGCTCCATGTGCTGATCCACACCGAAACTGAAGGTAAGATGCCTCTTTAGATTTGACAACTTCTCTGGCACCTGAACCACAGCTTCGCAGTTTTTCAAGGTCTTCCATGCTAAGGCCAGGGCTTTGCGGCATCCTGAGCTGTAAAGGCGTGGCGATGCACCGCACCAATTTCACCGTGGAACATGCAGATCTCAGCAGTCTCAGGCCACAGCCAAGGCTGAGCTAGCATCAACGAGCTTATCAACCGCCTGAGTCATTGCAAAATGCGCTGATGTAATCATCTTGCGAACAGCAGAAGCCCAGTGACCTCTTGCAAGGTTTGCAGCTCTTCTGCACAGCTGCCTTAGGCAGGAGACAGCGAAGAGACATGAAGAGATAAGTTCAACGTGTACAAACGCTGCCATGTACTCTGAGCTGCGTGCTCAGCACCCCTGTGAGATCAACGCGATCCTCAACGCAGATGTCGCTCCTGTCCATGGGCACATGAGCTGCTTCAACGCCACCACCAACCGAGGTCTATTGAAGCCATGGACCTGAGATTCAGCTCTGTGCTCCGCCGTCTAGTCCAGACAGCGGGGCTTGTGTCTGGTGACTGCCTCAACCAATTTCCGAAAAAAAATCAGAAATGCGTGGAAAAGAGACAAGTGTGCTGAGCTCTTCTGAGCCCTTGGCGCCCCAGCGTCAGCCTTGAAGGGCTTCGCATGACACAAATTCAATGTAAAATCACACAAAGTTCAGTTCGGCTGCAGACGAAAGGGATCATGTGCAGAAGGCTTCACTGAGCCGCTGTCACTAGGAGTTGAAGCTGGCGGAGATTCCGGAACTTCTCCGGGCATTGCCTGGGTCCACGAGCAACACAAATTCTGGCAGCCCCCAATCTTTGATCATCTTGGGGCTTTGCAAATGCATTCAAAGCCGATAGGCTCCTTCGGCACGAATTCGCATGTAAGAATTCAAAAGAGTAGCTGCCACGGTACATTGATGCACGTTGAAAACTTTGAAAGATACAACAGCACACAGAGCACAACCCTCCTGACTGCAGCTGGACGCGCAAAAATGCCGTGCCCAGGCTTGCTGTCGAAGTACCTGCTGCAGCTCACGGGGACTTGGCCATCTTGCAAACAGGCCACATGTGAGCCCACAGGCCTTTCACCCTGGATCGTGCCGTCATTCTTGCCATCAGGAGTGTCCTGTTCCAAGTCTCTCTCTGCAACTGAAGCGTGGAAATGGCAGTTTGATGAGCTGCTGCTTGGGTATCAGTCCAGTTCGACGCCAATCCAAGGGCCCGCAGCGAATTGCGTGGTCCTCAACCATCAAAGGGCATCACGATACTCACAGTACTGCGAGTCCTGTACTGTATGCTTTCTGAGGAAGTTTTGCCAACGTACCGTGCCAGGAAAGAGCATTGCAGCCCAGGCACCCAACGAACTTCACCGTGCCCATGAACTTTCCGAGGGCCTGCAATGCACGCTGTGGCACGCTGTATGCCAGGCAAAGTAGCTAGAGGCAGTTGCGCACTTGCTGCACAGACCTTACGTAGATGAGCGAACAGGAGGATGGCCTCAACCCGCGTACCTACTTTGATGTTGTCGGGAACTGGTTGCAGAATCGAGGCCTGACGAAGCAAACGCAGAGCCGTGAGGCGATCAAAGCACACTCGCAGAAGGAGCGAGCTTTCTGAAAGAAATGGGCAGACCCGGCCCTCACAGCGTCTGTCATGGTGAAAAACTTCCACGGTCCTAAGCTGCAAGGCATGTCGATCAGTCCAAACTACATTATTCCTGCATTTCCGGCGTGCATGTGCAAAGCCATGAGGAAACTTGCTGATTTGAATGTAGGATAGTGGCTCTAAGTTGTCGGCCTAGCTCCGGCGGCAGCTTGGCAGAAGGATGGATGATGCTACTTTCGAGCCCATAAGCCAACGGTTCTGCTTTGTCTTGCCCCTGCCATTCAACAGGACAAGTGGCTACGCGTCATGCTCCAGCAATCCGCATTACAGGGCCTTTTGTCGCTGGACTGCATTAAAGCTCGAGGCCTTTAAATCGATTGCGGAAAAAGCATCAGCCTCTATGCTCCCTCTGCAGTCGCTACTTCCAAGCGCATCTTTGGCGTTTTGGTCAACTCAAGCTACCATGGCCACCGGCTTTCCTGCCAGGTCGCAGGGAGAGGGACTGTCAACCGCCATTGCAATGACTCGCCTAGCTCCATGCGATACTCATCCATACTCATTCCAGTAATCGCATGTCATCAGACCATGTTCAAATCAAAAGAAATCAGTACGAGCTCAAGTATTTTAAGGAAAGGGTGTGACTAGTCCGGCTTCGTAAAGACTCCAAAGCACGCATTTCTGGGCAGTGATAGAGTTGCGGCGCACAAAGGCAGACGCAGGCGAGCGTTGGCAGGATGGAGTTTCCACATCAAGGAAGCACCAAGCAAGACATCTGCCAGGCATCAGTGCAGACCAGGAATGGTGTGGAAAAGCCGGACGCGCCTTGGCTTTCTGCTCTTTTCGCTGCTTCTGTATCTGGAAGTCTATCCAGGTCGGCCTCAGAGACAAAGGAGAAGGTTGCCACACCGCAACCCTCCTCCCTGGCCTGAATACCAACCATGTAAGCTCTCCGCAAGTTCATGTTCACTGCAAGAGCCAGCGTGTTTGCGAAGATGCCCAAGATAGCAATGATGAGTATGGAGAAGAGAAATTCGGGAGTGACCTGGGCTGTTTGGATGCATGGCGCACATAAAATCCATTCCCCATTTACGGTAAATGGATCTGGGAAAGCTGCTCCAAATACGAGCGGGACCACTCCAAGGTAACTGACAAGGGCCGTGAGTATAAGACCTGCATACAGGAGAGCTCAAAGCAGTATGGTGGACATCTTCCATTCCACCGACCTGGAATCACAGTTCCTTCCACAGTCTCCTGCACGGCAAAGATCTCACAACAGAAGAGCCTGCAAGCGCCTTGTGCTGACCACCTCCTCCGGCTTTGGGCCCGATGATTGCCAGTATCTTCGGGGAAGGCGTGAGGAGTCCAGCACCTTCGCAAGAACTTTCGAGAAGGGAGGTCGAGAAACAGGTTCAGCTGAGCTGTCGGCAGGTCTCCCCTTTGGCGCACTGGTGCTAGCAGAGCCTGCTCTGCTGCACTGAGCACCAACTCCATCCCACCAAATCTGCCCACAATTGGTGCTAACTTTTTGCAGAAAGAAAATCACTGCGACGATGTGGCAATCTTATTCTCTATCAACAATCTGCCGAAAACAACTCAAGAACAGTGTTCCCATCCTGTTAGCACGAAGCTGTTGGCCCAGCACGCTGTGAGCGCACAGCAACCAAGAAGTGCCAAAGTGCCTGGCACAATGGATCAAAGTCAAACACTGTCGCGCTGGCTTTTCTTTTTTTGCGTCTCTCTCAAAGTTGTTTTCCTCGCTTTTGCTTCAAAATGGCGAAGCCATTACCTGGAAGCAGACCATTCACAGCCAAAGGCGAGGTTTGCAGAAGAGTCTTCATGCCTTCTTATATCATGGCGTTGAATAGCGCTGCAGAAGTCAGCATGGCCGTTTGCAAAGACGAAAGTGTTGAAAGCAGGGAAAGAAAGCATTGAGCTGCAAAAGCGCTACAACTGCAGCTGAAGGGAGAGTTGGAAAGCGCAGCGTTGTTCTGCTCGCGACATGACAAGGCTGTACAGCATAAATACCGGGAAGCGTGGAACAAGTCTTTCAGCAGCAATTGAGCCAAGGTCTTCACCAACATTCTAGGGGTTCACATGCGGTTCCAGTACTCGTTGCACTTTACGCTGTCGGGATGCGGCGAGGCAAACAAGACCTGCTTCAATCAACCTTTACTCTGCTTTGTTTCGGATTGAGGGTAGTTCCCCGGTGCAACAAGCACCCCCAATGCTCAGGACTTAACCTCTTTCTTCCTGTCTTGCCCCCATGGCACGCATGTACGAGCCTTAACTATCTTAATTGAGACAGCTGGCTCGCTCGAGTAGAGCAACTGATCTGATAGAGTTTTGCGGCCCGGATCTTGTCTTAGACGACCCTTCGAGGTGTTTTTTTGACATGAATGGCTCTATGGGTATAACAAGCAAAAAAGTTACTTGACATCTAGATTCTTAGGTCGCTCTGTTTTTAGTAAGGCGTCAAAGATCGCGTTTCATGCTTGGTCGCTTGCATTAGGGGACTGAGCAGTGCTGGCAAAGAATTTCAATGACATCTAGCTTCTAGCCCTGCCTTTATCCGGTGTCATCACCCGATCTTCAATTGGCATCTAACTCTGGAGTCCGGAGCCCACCCAGCATAGTTCCCAACAGCCGCACCCCTCGCCTTGACTGTGTCGGCGTCGCAAACCGCTCAGGCCAATCATGACTTACAGGCCCTCTGCGAGTCTATCAAACTGTCCATCATGTAGCTAATGCCGTTCTACATTTTGTTCTTCTTGAACCCCTCGCTGTGGGAAATGTATGCTGGTCGTGTATCTGGTGTGAGCTTGCTAATGCCTAAAGCGCTGTCATCAGCAGATCTCATGAGACAGCCGCAGGATCTTTCACTCAAACTGAGGCCTGCAAATTGCCCAAGCTCTTTACGCGTATGATAATTGACTTTCGCACAGCATCTGGACAACGCTGCATCTTTTTCAATGAGCTACGCGAAGTGAAGGTCCACGAGCGCCTGGTCTCAAAAACAGACGCGCAGGATGGCTTGTAGAACATGTCGAATGGAGACAGCTCTAGAGGGATCCAACACCCCACAACTTCTACAGTGCCCTGACATCACTTCGCCCAAACTGTCAGGCTACATTGGAACTGTTAGCCTCCTTGTAGAGCTTTGTCTCCACTGGCTCTTGGACATCATCCTGACATGTTTCACTGAAGCCTCTGCTTCCCATTTCGTGATGACGTGGTAAGCTTTACCGCAGAGGCTAGATACGAATTCTGTACGGGCACTAGAAAGCAAACAAAAAATGGACCTTGAGTTTGACGCTATCCAGACTTGTTCAGGCATGTCCGCGCGGGAGAGCTGCCGCCACAGTCTTTAGTGGCATACTGGCAATGCCGCAATGCCATCAATGTCTGTCGGCGCTCAAAGTTTGTTTGACTATAGTGGCTAATGCTGCGGCTTGTAAGATTTGCAGAACACATCCCAGTGAAGGTCCTTTTTCCAAGATCTGGAACTGGGACATCTCTGCACCTCAGAGACATCAGCATCCTTGGCAAGATCACTCTTGAATTAGTTCAAAGCAAGACGGCCTCCAGCCTGTCAGCGGGTATGATGCACTCGTTGCTCTGCATAAAGCCGCCTGGCATGGACTCAAAAAAAAATCTAGCACGACGCTTCAGTCTGGGGCCTCTTCCCTGCTTCTGCAACTGTCCAGAAGGATCAAAGCGCCAAGCCTCGATTTGTTTCGGTTGTAGGTTCAGAAACATGCCTGCGTCCTGCGCCGTCAGGTGCAGACCTGCTGAAGCAACTTTCCAGAGATGTCGCAGATGAAGGTAGTGACCTTCCCATGCGATGCCTGGCCAGCGAACGCAAATCTTCGAAGGCACAAAAACCACGCCACCCTAGCCAACAAGGCATGCCAAGAAGACTCCGTTGATGCACTGATCAGTGTTCCAGGCGCGCAGTCCGCTGCAGCACCTTCATGCCCAGTACTTCTCGTGCTTCAGCTGCAGCACGCCTTGCTTCCAAGCGACCCCTTGTCAGTCTGAGATGGATCCTGGACCGCCATCCATGGACATTCATTCACACATCTCTTGTCTCTGCTGAAAGGCTCCGGAGCTCCTGATTGGCCTCATGCCAGCGCTGGCGTTCGTTGCCCGCAACGCATGGCTGAAGCACCTTGGAGGCAGCAACGCGTCCAACCTCTACTCAGAGTTTATGTAATGAAAATGCTAACTTTCATCAGCCTTGCGGGCGTTTAGACCGTTTGCCAAACTGCTGGGTCTCCGGCCGCTGTCCCCTTGCCATCAGGACTGGTCCTCGGTGTCTGCTTTAGCTGTTTTACCCCTTCATTGTCTTCGTGCGCTGCTCTTTGGGATGGCTAAGCTCCAGGCCCCGGCCCACCTTCGTAGGTCAAGCACTGCCCTGCCCAGGTCGACTTCATCCGATTCGTCCGCGTAACAAGCAATTCTGACAGGGGGATAAAAGTTGTCCACAGGGCCCAACTTCACGTTTCTTGAAGTAGTGTAGCTTTGGAGCATGGGGTTCACCATTGCCAACCCAACTGCTCAAAGCAAGGACGGCTGAGCCATGCACCATTGTGTTCGATGAGGAAAATTTCTGAAGGAATCAGGCCTCCATCCTCGCAAGTTCGAGAGCTTCAGAGCATGCGGGAATGCCATCACCGCTCACCTCGTAGACGTGCTTGAAACGGTGCATGAACCATGCGAAGGATTTGCACCTTAGCAACATATCCAGCAGCCAGTGAGAGCAAAGCCCGCTTCGATTGAGATGATGACCCCAGTCGCGTTTTCACGTCCAGGATGTTATCCAGATTTCCATACCTGCACAAAACATTGCAAGATTACAGGGCCTTCGGCACAGATATGGGAGAAGGGCACCAAGGCGTTCCGTCTGGGTTCCTCCTCTCATACTGCAAGCCCGGAAAGGACGAGAGCTTCTGAGAGAAATCCCCATACCTGTGCACACACGAAGCCCCCTTCTACGAGGATTGAAGGACTGTCAACCGAGGCTACGGCCAGGCTACAGCAGCCCGCAATCTATTTCGTGCAGCTGCACCTGTCAGCAAGCTGCAACAGCTTCTACACAATCAATGAGACAAACTGTGAGTTGTTCCTGTCAAAACCCTGCCTGCTTTCACCTTGTAATGGGCCTTGGTTCGAGAGTCGCTGGGTGAGCGCCACATGTGGGCAACGAAGGAGTCCTGACAGTCCAAGCGTTGCAGACAACCTTTTCTGTCAAAATGCTCTCTGCCTTCGCCATCATGATCTCACCGCCACAAAGCCAACTCCTGACTAGGCCAAAAGCATGAAACGGGTGTGGAGTGGACCTGAAGGCTTGCTCTGCACTGCGCATCATTCCTGAGTGACTGGTCCAGGTTCTCGCCGCCCCATCCAACCATCTCCACGTCATAGCCTGCGTGCACACAGAAGCCATGCAGCATTGTCAAAGCTCACTTGCAGAAATGCCTCCAGTTTCGTTCCACCATCGTTTGCTGATGCCTAAAAGCCCACCGGATAGGATGGGCACGTACCTTAGACAGCCACGGGTGCCCCGCATCTGTGAAGCTGCAACTGCGACTCTGGCGGGTCATCAGATGTGAACCATTTGAAATCCGCATCCCAGGTCAGGTAGCACTTTGCCTTCTGCATGGGACAGCAAAATCAGCAGCGTCTGCATGTCATTTTGTCACTTCACCATTTCGCCACGGCCTGTCCCTGGTTGCCACCACGTTGCTGCCACGTCCTGCACATTTCACTTCTTACCTGCTGCCTCCTCCCCTGCAAGCGGAACACTAATTCACAAGCCGTGGGTCCCGACATCGAGGTCTGTTATTACAGGTGTAACAATGCGGCGGTAGTTTTCGCCGATCAGCCTGCGCAAAGCTTCAATGATCAAAAAGATTCAGAAAGACAAGTCACACAGTGCCCCTTTGCCGGCGATATCTTGCTATCGGTTCTAGCGATCACAGACACCGCCCCTTGAGGTGAGCCTGAGAAAGGACTCGTGCCAACCCGGCTGGGGAGCCACGTGGCAATCGAAAAATACGACCTTTGGTGGCGGTGGACGCGGCAGGCCAAAATGCCTCAAAATGCTTCAGCTCGTGGCAATATCACCAGTGGCAGCATCACCACCATCCTGAGAGCTGAAAAGCTAAAAAGCAGATGACAAATAGAACGAGAATACGATTACATACCCGTCCTTCTTGGCGCCAATAAGGCCAACCGTTTGAGCCTTGCTTCCAGTGTTGAGAATACCATACAACAAAGTACACAAAATCCCAGAGATTCCCAGAGGACTTTCTATGGCTTTGCCGGCACCACTGAGATCCAAGCATGGCGTATGATTCTGACCCTGTAGCGTTTGACCACGTCGAGAGTCAAAAACGACTCTGCCAAAGGCGGTTCGGAACCATCGTCTACAACGATGATCTCTTGCAAGATGTCCGCAGGCAGGGACTCGTAGACCGCGCGAACGGTGTTCAAGGCGTACTGTCCCTGCACGGCAGCTAGCATGTCTTTGGCCTGATTCATCAGAAACATGCAGAGCAATGAAGGTGCCCAATCCTCGCCAGCGCACGGCAGAACGACAGAAAGGCGTTGCGGAACTTCATCAGCTGCTAGGTTCGCAACGCTCTCACCTCAGCTTGAGGAAAATCCCTCATGCGCGCATCTCACGCTGCGTGAGGGAGAACAGACTGAGCATCTGACCTATGACCCCAACGGGGGAAGTTGCCTCAGAGGCTTCTGGGCTGCTCGCTCTCCAGAGAATAATGAACCAGACCTGCCATAGGCACTGTTTCACCACAAGCACTAGCTGCTAGCTCTCTGATACACATGCCCCAATTGCCAAGCGGCTGGGCTATCAACTGCCTTGCCTGGCCTGCAGGAGCCACAGCACGGACAACCGCATCAAAGCTGGCACCTTTGTCAATGTCAATAGTCAAGTGCACTTTGATTTCAACTTTTATGCTTCCATAAGGGATCCCATCTCGCTTTCTGAGGCCTTGCACTTTCAGGCATGGAAGCACCTTCTTGGCCCGGTTGCCGAAGATTTTGGTGCGGATCTGGTGGCTGGCATCTATTATCATTGCTCAGCATAACTCTGTCACGTGCGTTCACGTGCGCTTCATGCTTCATGCTTGCCCAGCCTTTGGCACCTCCAGGGGCGTTAGCGACGCCGCAAGCAGCAGCGGGATTAGGTGAAAGCAGCCTAACAGCAAACTAACTGCCGGCACCAGCCATATGAGGCAAACCCGAATGAGGTACTTCGGCACAGCACCTGAGATATGGAACACATCAAGGCAATGCACTTGCACGGTAAGTAGGATGCAGAAAGTTGGCATGATGATTGCACTTAACGACTACAACTGAAGCCCAGTTAAGTCCAGTGATGTACTTGGCTTGCTTCACACATCACCCACTACTTTCAAGCCAGGCACTCTTGGGTGGCATGCCAAGACAGCAAAGCCGTGTGTCGCGGCCAATGTCTTGATATTCATCGCACTTGTCGCTTCATGCGACGTGTCTTACAAAATCCGTGGATACAAAGGCTTGGTGACGCTAGACTTTGACAGTGAATTAGCCAGTGTCTTCCATTGCTGGAAAACACATATCCAAAGGACTGCTTTTGGAATTTGACCTGCTAAAATGGCTCCGTGTAAGCCGTTCGTCTGTAGTTCATGGGCTCTTCACCAACGCTGCATAAGCCTGGCCTGCAAGGTGTGAAGCTGAGCTTCAGCCTTGAGCCATGGTGTGCATTTGATGCAAACCAGGTGCGGAAAGGTACAAATGCACATCATTGCCATCAGCATCGCCACCACCGCCACCACACCACCACATTACCATTACCGTCATCATCGTCATCATCATCATCATCATGATCATCATCATCATCACTATCATCAGCATCATCATCATCATGACGGCAAGAAAAAATGAGAGAACATCGTGGTCAGCAAGCCAGCACCTACTAATCAGCATCCATGTGCCAAGTATGTTGCCGTTTCCACCAGACCAGCGTTCATCCTCTGCGAGTACGGCATGTCAGGCTTTCAGGAGACGGCGCGCCGCAGCACGATCCGCGTTGCCTACAAACTCCAGGTTTATGATTCCGGCTCAGGAGCTCGTCACATCCATGGCAGCCTCGTCCCTTAATTCCTCCATCTTCTTCTCCTCGGAAAGGCCCAGAGCTGCCTTTCAAAAGTCCTCTGCGTCCTAGATGTTATAACCTTCTTCTCAAACCGTGGTGTTTATGAGTGTATCCTCCGCTGTCTTGAGGACTGCGTTGGCTTCATCATTCACCTCCTCGACCACAGCCTCAGCACGGTCCACGGCAACTGCTGGCGCTCCCCCAGGCCATGGCGGGCTGAAGGGTTCTTTTTCCTCAGGGGGGACCCAGCCGTAATTGTAATTTGTATCGCCTGGGCGGGGGGGGATGGGCTGCATTGCAGGAGCAGTTCTTGGAGGTGGCCAGAAGGGGCCCTGAGGAATGCTGCCTGGAACCTCCTTGGGCAAGGACTCCCGGCGCTCCTTTTCGTAAGCCTTCTCGATCCCTTCTTTGCTGAGCTCGTTCTTCAGAATGCTCTTGGCCTCTGGTGGCATCATTTTCTCTTCGTCTGGTTCGTCATCCTCAAATGTACCGACTTGGTCAGGGGACGGAGGTGCCGGCTTTGACTTTGCTTCAATGACAAGGCCAGGTCTGGGTTCAAACGGATCTTCCTCCTCCAGCTCCTTCTTCTTTCGCGCCCGTAGTGCCGGAGGCACTGGGGCCTTTGGAGTAGGCGCCAATTCGTCACCCTCCACCTCTTCAGGACGAGGCGGCGGAACACGAACAGGACGCGGGGGCACGCGCCTTTGCGCAGGTGCAGCAGGCGCTGTGAAGGGGACCTGCGGTTGCTCAGTGTTTGCCTTCGCCTGTTCCTGGCGGGCTTCATTTGCTGGTTGCTCCCACGGTGAGTTCGAGGGCGGAGGTCTGCGGCGATGGTGCACTGCCGCTACGGCAGCTGCCCCGCCTACGACTCCAGCTGCTGCAGCACGTGCTGCTGGAGAGGTTTGGCGAGGGGAGCGGTCTCTACTCGTCTTTCTCGGCGCTTGCACAGGTTCTGGTGCTTCGGGTGGAAACCACTTCTTTTTGAGAGGCTTCAACTTCCTGCAGAAGCCATGGCTTCTTGTGCCGTAGCCTGGCATCCATCTTGGACACTTTGAATTCCACGGCTGCAGTTTCTGACTGAATGGATCGTCTGATTCCCCAGATCCGAACAAGAAGGCAGATGCTGCGCTGCGACTCCGCTGGGCGGCAACTTTGGCCGGTAAATCAATGTAGTTTAAAGGTCCGCGCGCTGTCCTCGATGAAGCACCATCTGACTGGAAGAACGATGTGAAATCCAGATCTTGAAGCTTCCTACGCATTCCAAAGTTCAAGGGCTAGTTGACCTGGCTCTGAGCCTTGAGCCAACCAATCCTTCACGAGCCTTAATGTCTCCGAGCGCCATATTGAAAGAGTGAAGCAAGTCTGGGAAGATCCCGGAAGCTTTGTTGCTGTCGGGTCGAAGGGGGCCAGCTCTGCAGCTGGCGACTCGGTTTGGGTACACTGCTTTGGCGAAGCAGTGGTCGCGTACTCTACATCCCAAAGTCGATGCATCTTCCGGGTACTGTATATCCAGTGAATCCAGTCCTTTGTATCAGACCCAAACAGCTTCGTGAATTTCACGAATGCAGTACCCAGTGGGCATGACTGGCATACACGCCATCACGTGTACGCGCGGCATGCAGCAATGCAGCATGCAAATTACTTTGCCTCACCCACGTGGTGACAGCTCGGATGTGGAAAAGGAACATGCGCTTTAGCCATATCACTGGCCAAAGCCAGAACATACTTGGAACTCGCAAAGATGTTACGATAAGTCAAATAGTGTCTGGTCTTGTTGAAACAACCTGCCCAAAGCTACTGCATGCAGCCGAATATCAAACTGCAGCTAAACGAATTCTCGTAGTCAGAGACTTCTCCTTTGCTTCGCAGCGAAACCGAGTGCGGGAAAATGTGAATAGCAGCTGTCTGCAAGGACCGACCCAAGGCTACAAGACTTGGGCGTGGCCACAGGGTGAATGGCAAGGATGTCGTTTGCGGTTCAGCCACCGGCCAAAAGCTGAAAATACAGCTCAAAGTAAGTCAACCATTGATCCGCAAACATCATTGCCAACCAAGCTCTGCGCACGCAGAGGAGTCTGTACATACAGCTGTCAGCTGCACCCGCACGTGTTGTGGCCTTCGGCCGTGTTCAAACGCTGTCTCCCTCGCTCCTGTACCTGGTGCAACAGACTCAAAACGATCAAAAGTGATGCCTCGGTAGCCACCGATAGCTTCAATCAGTGACATCAATGTTTGGTCCCCCGGCTGTCCTCCAAGCGTCATGTGGCAGGCAAGACCTGACAAAGCATGCATGGCCTCAGGGCTCATGAAGGGTTGGCAGAAGCAGGCCCAGAAAACGGGCGGTTTATTCTACATCCTTGCTTAGGGAAAATTATATTGTCCAAATCTGAACGAGCATGTGCTAAATCGCCTCGCATGACTTCCTCAGAATGACATCAACTACTTTTCTGTGACTGGGGCGCTTGAAGAAACTCTCGTAGATCCCCCTGCCGCTTTGGTTTGTGGACCCGGCTCTTGCACAAAGGGTCCAGTGCTTCAATCGGACCCAAGCTCTCCCTACTCCCAGGCTGGGACTTCCCACCCAAAGGTTGATCGACCACTTCTGAGGCCCCTGTGCTTTTGCCTTGCCGGCAGATTTGCTGGCCGAGCGAATGACGCGGAGCGAGTGACGAAGCGAATTCAATGCCAGGCCTCCCAAGCACTGTGCTCTTGCGAGCTCAAGCTGACCTTCAAGAACACACACCACTGATTCTGGATAGTCTCAGAACCTTTGAAGAAAACTCACAACGCAGCAGGCAAATAAGCACCGAGTTGTTGTCTATGTTCCTAGAGCTGCAGTCTGGACCAGCAGAAACTCCCACCCGGCATGCAACATTTTGTTTCTGGCAATAGCAATGGACAGGTTAGACATTGATCTCCTGCCTGTGTCGTTCCTTCTGGCATCCACCATACTCTAGTTCTGGCCTCGGGGTCTACCATTTTCTTCTTGCTCTTGTTCCATCTTTGTCTTGCCCCTCATCTATGTTGTTCTCCCATTTCCTGTCATCACTCCTTCTCTGCTTGTCGGTTTGTTAGCTCTTCTGCTGTTTAGGATTGTACTCAACTCCATCATCCTCCGGCAGCCTCCGTTCTTTACTCTTGATGCCGAGCCAAACCAGGCAAGTAGTGAGGTAGTGAGCCTCTAGCAAAAGCCTGCCGCCCTCTTGCAGTCCCAAATGATTACAGAGATGCCCTTGAAAGATCAACCATGCCAGCTTGCGGTGTGCCTTGCTCGGACTCCGTGGGTCCACATATAGCCACATACCAGTGGATTGATGCTGCAAGGCACCCGATCCTGATCCATGGCCTGACACGAGGCCATGAGCCGGACTCAAGCACTGATCAACTGATCTGGGATACTGCAGCCGCGTTGCTCCAGCGCTCACGTCTCCCGAAGCTGCGGCTAGAGCAGCAAAGCTCCACTTCTGTCCAGCGCCTCCCACCGACCAGGTCGTGGGCTGACTTAAAGCATGTCATGCCAGAGACAGTGCACACAGCGGGTTCGTTCAGCCTCCTGGAGCCCAGAAAGCGGCCACAGGACGGGACTCCCTGGGTGAGCATCATTGATGCGCATCCCAGCATGCGTGCTGCAGAATGCCGATCACGACTCGATGGCACACCCTCCCTGCATGAGACCAGCCTCGTGCGCCAGTCCAAATTCCAGAACACCTTCGAGTTCAGCTAGCCTCGCGCATGTTATAGGCCCCCCTTTTTGGCAGTCCCATCCACTGAAGGCCTTGACTTGGACCACTGCGAAGGAATCTCCGTCTCCTCTGAGACCTACAAGGAGCTCAGGGCTTAGGGCTTAGATGACAACTCAAGAGCTTTCGTCAACTTCCCTACCTCTGTGCTGAACGAGGAGCTGCAGGCCTCTGCCAGGCCTCCACCAAAAGCAAAGAAACCACAAGCATGAAATCTATTCGTGCAAACAAAGCTCCAGAGCAATCCAAACAAGACAGCCTTTGTCGAGAAAGTGGCACACAAAAAGCGAGACGGGTAGCTCCTCAAAGAAATGTGGAGCATCCATGAACTTGCGCTTACACCTTCTCAATCCCTGTCATCCTGAAACTCCTGCGCTGCTGCCGCGCAATCTTGCCAAGGGGCTGTCATCATGATGCCAACATCCGTTGAAGAGCTGATTATGGACAGGTACCTCCGATCAGTTTGCATGCCTTCGTGGCCTCCAGTGCTTCCCAGCTCCCTTATGCACCTCTGTGACTTGTTCTCGCGAAGGAAGACTCTGGCTTCATGCTCCAACCTGGCAAGCGCATGAAAGCAGTAAACTCAGTAAACAATCATCAAATCCTTCCGAAAGCAACCGTGACGGCAGTGCACATGCTCTGGAATGTTCTTCTTACCTGCAGTGACACGCGCCACGGCAAAGCATTGAAAAAAAAACGGTTGCAGCAAATTCGCCTGCAGTTGTCGCAGGGACACCCAGGGCCTGGACAATCGGCAGCTAGCAGTCGCAGCACCGCCACAAAACCTCTGGATCGGCCTTGAGATCCTCGGCCAGGAGCCCGTCCGGTCCGCCCAAAGCTTCCTTGCAGGCTGCTTGCCGGCTGCTTGCAGGTTCTGAGAACGGGCTGAGAGCTCTGGGCTCCAGGCTGAGCACACCAGGAGCTCCTGCCAGGAAGGTGACGCCTTGGCCAAAATGGCTCCCAGCTCCTCACCGCATGATACCGCATGCACCGCTCCACTTCAAGCACAAGAGCATGTGTCAAGATGCGCCACTTCAGCTCCTGCACACGCCGCGATGCCCCTCGCCGGATCTCTGCAATGCGCGTTAGGAAGGCCACAACAATGGCCTGCTGCTCTGCAGGAACCTGCCTGACAAATGCCAACTTCAAGAGGTTTGCCATGCCACGCATCCTTCACCCCACGGGCCTCAGGGCCTCTCCTCCGCCAGGAATGCGGCCCGAGCAGTGGCGGCAGCCCTTCCGCAAAAGGGCGAAGGCCGCCTGCATTGCTTGCATGAAAGAATTTGTGTGCAATTGATGGCTCTAAGATGCTCCTGGTGCCTCGTTTTCGTTGGTGAAGCGAACCTCCCCAGACATAGCATTGCAGACGGCTTCGATGCCCGCAAGCAGTGCCTCCAGCTGCGCGCAATCCCACAACACGAAGTCACGAAATGCGGCCTTCTCTGCCAGGTCGTTGCCATCGGCAGGACCACTGTTGCCGGCCTAAGAGCTTGCCCAAGGTCTGGCAGGGCATGCCTTCTGACCGACGCCCTGCCAACATGCCGGGGACTTGATGCCAATGGTTGCAGTACGTCCCTACGCTGACTGGGACCATTTTTCGACAAAGGGGCTTTCATAAAATGACCTGGCAGCCTGGGTTGTTCAGACTGAGCCATCAACTGCAGCTCCTCCCGGCGTAGAGTTCGCCATCTACCTTACCATTCTTGCGCCAGATTCAGCATGGGGCTAAACATAAGGACTCCCGAGAGTAGAAGGACATGCGTTCAGAGGCTGCTTCGAACGTGCCAAGCTGCGCCGGGCACCATGCCGCAGAAGCCTTCTGGGCCGGGCGGCAGAAGCTGAAACGGCCGCACGGTTACAAAGAGCGTAGCTTGGTACAATCCTTTCGACCGCAGTTTTGATCAAGCTGCCACGCGCAGAGCGAAGGCTTTTCTTCAGCTGCTTCAGCAGGTCTTGTAGTCAAGCAGTCATACATCCAGCATGGGACAGTACCACTCGTCGATGATATCTTCTAATCTTCAGACATTGTGACGGTCCCATGAATTTGTCCATCCTTTCTGAAGGTCAGAGACTGCCCACATCTTTGGCAGAGTGACCCGGCAACAGGGCAAAAACGCTGTCAGGGCGTAACCTGTCGCCGATTCAAGATAAGACACTGTGGATGCCATGACTTGGCATGATTATCTTCACTGTCACCGCTGCTATTGCAGTAGGTCCAGGTGAAGTTACAAGCCGATGCTGGAGCAACGTCGAACAGGCCTCAAGCCTCAAAAAGAGCTGACCCCATCAGGGTAGACCGAGTCGGAGAGAATTCCACACATACCGCAGACCGGCAAGGTAGCTGGTCCACCATCGCATCCAACACCTGCGAACCCATCCCTCTTGACTGTTTTTACCTTTGTTTGACAAGCATGCCTTGCTTTGGGTCGTAGTCGGTCCCACAATATCCAGCATCTCCCTCATCAGAGGAGTGTCGCAGAACCCTGATGAAGCCATTCTCACCCCACCACCTTGCATTCAGAGTGGCATGGGAGGGAAAGGCAACTTGAGTATGCTGATGACTCAACTAGTGCTTTGCCTAAGGTCATGCTGCGGGCAGCCAAGAATCTCTCCCCACGAGTTGCGGACCTGAATCCATCAGGCACGCAGCACCGAATAGACTCTTCCAACCCTGACTGTTATCTCGAACTGCTGGTCAAAGAATTTGATCATTACCGCCAGGAGACCAACCAGTAGTCCTTGTTCACCTGAGATGGTCCCAAGCAAGCTTGGAGGGGAGGGGGAGCACGTAAGAACGCGAGGAAAGGCAAAAAGGAGGAGCAAAGAGATTGGGAGAGAGGGAAGAAATGCGACGAGGCAGTGCCAGACCGACTGACAAGCAACAAAAAGTATTCCTGGAGTTGCTGCATGCCCTCTTTTTGATATTACACTATTGGATAAAAAGCCTCTTCATGCCACGCATCCTACAGTTTTACCGAGGCACGGCGGAATCATGGCCATATCCCACCAGCAGGACTGCGTGGTTGACAGTAGCATCCCTGCAAGCTCTCATGCACTGCAGAATCACCACGCCACACAACACTAGCATCATACTGGCAAGTGAAAGTGTAGAGCACTTCAGCTGACCACACGATTGAATGGAGGAGGAGTGCATGACATCTCTTTTAAACAGATGCTCAGGCCCAAGTCCCTCTCAGCAGAGCCCCGTAAGGGGAATCCCCATGTCGTGCAAGCATGTCTCTCCATCAGCAGACGATCCAACAAAACTAAGCAACAAACGTACGTACGCGGGCATCTTCTGTTTTTCATGCGTGTCAGACAGATCCATGTGGTTCTGCTCTACTCTACTGCCCAAAGACCTTAACGATGGATGCAAACTGGTCTGTGAGCTTCCGTGACTGAAGGGTGGCACCATTACGCTGCAGTCCCATACACCAAGATACGATGAATGATACCGGTAACATGATGGGAGAACGTGAAGCACAGGTGATACGGAGGCCTGGCCTTTTGCAGCCATCGAAAACTCCAGATGCATAGTTGCCCCAGGGCTCTCCATCAACAGACACGACAACCGGCCCCTCAGCAAAGGAGTGTTCCAGATCTAAGGCGAACACAGCCATGCAAACATAAGCTGCGTCTCTGACGTGCTGGATGGCCATCATCAATGGCGAGAGCTTGTTCACTGGAAGCTTCACAAAGCCTCAGAAAATTCAATTGCAGAAACAAAGCCGGCTGCTGAAGTTCTCTTTGAGCTCAGCAGCTGCTGGCCTTGACCACCTTTGCACCATCTGCACCGTTTGGATATCATGCAAAACTCCCTTCAGCCCTGGTTTGCAGTCCAGTTGCCGCAGATCGAGAGCTTGCCTTGCATCGCTCGGTCGCTTCGCGGTCGCCGAAGTAAGAGGAGCTTGCCTCAGAACTCGGACCAGCTAGGCAAGATCAAGCCCTCAAGGCATAAGGCGTTACAGGCCAGGGACAGAGAGGCCATGTTGGGAGATGTATTGGAAAGCCAGCTCCCCAGTGGCCCCTGCACATCCGCCGTCTCCACCTAAGAGCAGGACATGTAAGCCAAGCATTCACATGAGACCGTTCAAGGGAGCAGCCGCAGTGCTGCGGGTTCTCAACGCAATCCTTGGCTCACCCTCAACATTGTTTCTGCCATCCTTCACTTTGCTAGCATGAGTTTGCTTTTTTCCGTCCCAAGCCATGGGTCCACGAGCTCCTTGTAGGAGAGCATGTTCGGAGCTTTTTTGTGCGCAATCTCTGCCTGGGAGACTCACGTGGATAGCTGCAATCGTCCTCATGAAATCATAATATATCATAGTGCAGCGGCGGCACTCTCATCTCCAACGCTCCCGTGGCCGCAACGGCCCAGCAAGATCCACAGGCTCCCTGGTCGATGAAGTACCTCATCACACAGGCCATCAGCTGTAAACACTTCACTCTGGGCCTAGCGGGCACCTTCCCGACTTGGTCTGTGAAGCCCAGTCCAGAGACTGGGCGAACTGCGTCGTCTCTGCCTGGACAAAGGATGTGGAAGTTCTGTTCCACCACCTCAGAGCAGACTTCTCCAAAATGGCTTCTTAAGCGAAGGGCATGACACAAGTGGAAATGTGTTTGCAGCGATTCGCGCCCAAGCACGTGCCAAGTCGTCGGTAACCCAGAACTCGTCCAAACTCTTCATGTGTCTGGTCCTTTGAATGGACTAGTCATCATTGCATTTCGCTGGAACAGAAAAACGACAAAACAAAGTGGCTTGAGGGTCATAGACTGAGGACGCGGCTGAAAAGCGGTTCAGAGCAGCGGTCCATGTGCCTGACTTAGCAACGATCTTCAAACCAGGCTGGACCATCTTTGGTCAATGTGACACGCAGCGATAGTGCAGCCATGGTGCGATCGGATCTCTTATTGTGTTCCGCAACCTTCGCGTGGTTCCGAGCGAATGCTGCCATTCGTTCGGATCTCGAGACCGTGTCGCCCACGCGCTGATTGCCTTACTATCGTGGAACTACAAGCGGTCATACAGTACAAGTACCAATGACCACATACCCAACCGAATTCATGCTGGACACAGCTAGACAAGCCTGTCACAAACAACTGGCAGCGTTCCCTTGTGTGGAAGAGCAGGCACTCAAAGACTTCCAAGCTACCGTGACGCTCCAAGAAAGTTGCCTTATTCGGCCAAGACTGCAAGCTTCTGATGAAGATGAAAACTCACGTTCGCTCAGTACCGAGCATATGCAGTCTCCAGACTGACACCTTCGATCTCCGCTGTTTCAGATCCAGACCTGCTTCCGGGTGAGGCTTCAGGTGAGGAATTTATTGAAGGCAAAAGCCTCTGACATGCAAGATACCAGTGGCCAACAGAAAATTTTTACAACGTGCTCACTAGCTGAGCACAGAGGTCAGTATGCTACTGACGCCATCCATCTTGAAGCCTCAGCTTGCTGGCAGAGGCAGCGCCCAGGACGGCTGCAAGGATCAGCTTCATTCTCCTGAAGAGGCAAAAGCCAAGGATCTGTGCTCAAAACCAGCTCTCCACGCAGAAAGCCAAAGGTTGGTAAGCAGCATGCAAAACTTGCAAAACAAGCATTCTGCTCCGTAGCTACAACCAAGATGTAGCCATCAACTCCGCTCGTCTACGAGCATACTCTCGGGAACCTGATGGGAATCTTCGTTAATCTGGATGAGACTTCGCCTGCGCATGGTCTGTTCACCCAACGCTTGTTTCAGAACAGTCTTTCTGGGCTGGCCTGGAAGTGGTAGTCCCAGATCCACGTTGGCGGATATGAGAACGACTTGAAAAGTTTATGGTTGCGGAGATTTGACATGCAGTAGTCTGCGCTGCTTGCTTTGCCCGAAAGATTCCCAACATGCCTGTTCTAAAGCATTAGTAAGGGCACATGCCTCTGCATTTTCCGGCCTTTTTACATCTGCAGGAAAGCGTCTTAACCAAGTCATCCAGTTCAGCAGAGGAGCTGTACAGATCAAGCAAGGAAGTTTGCTGCAGTATCAATGGTAGAAAGGTCTCTCTTCCCGCTTTGCTGAAAGCAGTCCCCAAGCAAGGTACTTGGACGCCTTATGCCAACAGGCTAGCTTCTCAGAGCGAAGCGGAACGTCATAGGTCCAAGCAGGTCCAAGCATGAAGGATTCCGGTGGAACCCAATGTTTCGTGCTGCAAAGGCAGAGTTCTACACTGAGACACTAGTGAAAGCTGCGAATCTGGCAAGTTCGGTTGACACAATCTGAGCACGAAGCTCTGCCAGGTGTGGCCGACAGGAGATTCCTTTCCTGAAGTAGTCTCCAGGCTCTTTGGGAAATTCCTGCATGATAAGCCTTTCAGCTAATTTCAAGCAACATGTCCCTGTAGATGCTATAGATGCTGTAGAAGAACAGGGCTGAAGCTGAAGGCACTGCTGCTACACCAGGCATGAGGCACGTTAACAGCATGCACACCGTCAGTCAAGCGGCACAATAGGTAAGCCCTCATGCTCACCACGGAGTTGTGGCTGCACATTAGAGGAAGGGTGAGCCAGGAACCACAACCGGAGAGCGTATGATTGTGAAGTGTTCTTCGACTGAGCTCACGAGCTAACATAGCTGCCAAATCCACGCCCTCTTGCGGATCAGGTTTCCGACCCACTCCAGCGATAGCTTGACGGACACCGGCTTGCGCATGATTCCTCACAAATCATACCTGAAGCCTGAACAGGCATAAACAACATCTGGGCACAGTTTCCCGCTCCACAGCATTATGAAAGCAAGTTGCACTAGGGCCAGGAAATAATTTGGCCATCATTTTGGCACTTGGTGCGTAGCTGCTCTGGGTAAGAGTGTTCATTTTTTGTTGTCTTGTCTCTTTTGTTGTTTGTGCTTTTCGGATGTTATCTTTTTTGCTGTTTGGGCGGGGGCCACGCCCCCGCCCAAACAGCAAAAAATAAACACGCCCCCGCCCCTTCCGAGCGTGTGTGTGTGTGTGTGTGTGTGTGTGTGTTTTTTGCTGTTTGGGCGGGTGTGCATGTTTATGTTTTTGCTGTTTGGGTGGGGGTCGTGTTTTTTTTTGCTGTTTGGGCGGGTGTCGTTTTTTTGTGCTGTTTGGGCGGTGGCGTGCTTTTGTTTTGCTGTTTGGGCGGGGGGTGGTGTTTATTTTTTGCTGTTTGGGC